CCCTGTTCCTGCCCCTCCATGAGGCTGGGAGCGCTGGGCCCTGCTCACCTGCAGTGCCCTCACCTGCCTTCACTCACCTCCTCCTTGTCTCCAGCTCCTGGGCCAGCCCTGGTTGTTTGTCCCACGGACCCAGCAGCCCCAGCAGTGCCACAGAGCTCAGCACTGTGTGCATCCCTGGGCACTGCCTCCTTCCCCTCTCACCTTCCACTCCACAATTTTCCCCCAGTCCCTCCCCAGCTTCCTGGATGGAGCCAGACCCATCATTTCTCCTGCTGCCATTGAAGATGTGGCTCATTACAACCGAACCGGCCATTGGCACGTTTGACCCCCTCTGTCACCCCTGGAGACAGCAGCAGTGCAGTGCCAGGGGATCTGTTCCTGCCTCAGAGCAGAGTGACACCCACAGCTGTCCTGTGGGCTGCAGAGCCACCCCCAGCTGAACCCTGCCATGCCAAAACTTGAAACAGAAGGGCCTCGGTGTGAGCAGGGGTGTCACACACCCTCAGTGCCCATGGAGCAAACCATAACACAGGGCCCCAGCCCGAGCCAGCTCCTCAGCTCCAAACAGCTCCCCTGGGATTTGCCTCCATCTCCTCCTCCCTAAAGGACCCTGTTCCTCTTAGCCCTCCCACACAGCATCCTTCACAAGGGATGCAAGAGCCCCTGAGCTGTCAGCGCTCACCCTCTTGTGCTGTGCCCTGGTGGGACTCTTCTGGATCCCTCTGTTTCTCCTGGCAACACCATCAGCTCCGTGCCACGGGGACAGCCCGATCACACCTCCCTCTGCTCTGCTCTGCTGTCCCCATGAGCAGTGCCAGGGCCCCTCAGGTTTGCAGCACAAACGCCTCTAAGCCTGGAGAAATCCCCTTGGACTGCTGCCCCATCTCCCAGGCCTCCTCTTCTCCGCCTCCACCCTCACACTGTCCCTGCCTTCTGTCCCACCTGCTCAGCACAGTCCTGGCCCCGTGCTTCTCCCAAAGGTTTCAAAGTTCTCTGATTTTTCTCCTGCTCTCCACACATTCAGCCGTGCTTAGAAAGGCTTAGAAAGCCTCTCTGATGCCCTTCCCTTGTTTTCTACGTGCTTCTGTCATCCATGCCTGCCTTTGGCCTGCCTCCCCGTCCTGCTGGGTGACCAGAGCCCGCTGTCCTGCAGCCCTGCCTGTCCCCTGTCCCCTCTGTCACTGGCGATCCCCAGCACCCACCTGCTCCAGCCACCATCACTATGGTGACTCTCAGCTCCACACGCCCTGCCAGACTCGTCTCTTCCTTCTCTCAAACCCCAGCCAGCCTGGCTGGTGTTCCCTGTGCAGGGGCAGCCCCTCAGCCCAGTTCTAGCACAGAGTCACTCACCCCGGCCCAAAGCTCTGATCCCTGGGAGGACACGTCCCCTTTGCTCTCTGCCCTGCAGGTCTTCATGAGGGACAGCCCTGGAGCCCGGAGGGACACACGGTGCTCAGGATGCTGAGTCTGGCCTAGTGCCCGAGCCCAGCAAGCTGAGAGGTAAGGTATGGCCCCAGGGTGGCTTTGGGGATGGCCCCGGGGTGGCTCTGGGGACGGCCCCAGGGTGGCTCTGGGGACGGCCCCGGGGTGGCTCTGGGGATGGCCCCAGGGTGGCTTTGGGGACAGCCCCGGGGTGGCTTTGGGGATGGCCCCACGGTGGCTTTGGGGATGGCCCCAGGGTGGCTCTGGGAGTCCCGAGGGGGCCAGGGGGCACAGCCCCGGCTCTGTGCTGGTGGCCAAGGGGCAGTGGAGCTCCTGCAGGAGCACGCTGGGGAAGGGAAGCTGGGAGGGTGATTCAATGACAGCCCTCCCTCCATCTCCTGGCGAATCCACAACACGCCCCTCGCAAAATAAGTTATGAAATCTCCTGCCCATTGCCCATCCCTGCCATGTAGATGCTGCACTGCTCCACCTCGAGCTCAGCTACACCTGGGTCGCTCCTGTTGTCTCATCAGGAGGGTGTGCCAGGTGTGCCAGTTCCTCAGGCCAGCACTCCCCTGGGCTCAGGGACACTGCCATGGCACTGGGGCTGCCCTCAGCTCCGCGGCCTGGCAGTGAGCCAGGGCTCACCACACCAGCTCCAGGAGAGATCATTTCCCCTCTGCCTCGAACTGTGTCACCCTCAATTCTCCCCGCTGGATCACCAGGAATGAGAACCATTTATCTTCACTTGGAGAAGCCTCTGTAGCTGCCTGTGGCTTCCCTGCAGGTGTCCAAGCCCCCTCTTGACTCCAATACAGCTGAGAAATGAGGCTTTGGGCTCTTTCACAGAAAAACCTCCCCAGCTGCCCTTCATTCATAGAATCCCAGAATTCCAGAATGATTTGGGCTGGAAGGAACCTCCAAGAACATCTTTGTTACAACCCCCTTGCCATGGGCAGGGACACCTTCCACTGCCCCAGGCTGCTCCAAGCCCCATCCAGCCTGGCCTTGGACACTTCCAGGGATCCAGGGGCAGCCACAGCTGCTCTGGGCACTCTGTGCCAGGGCCTCACCACTTTCACAGGGAGGAATTTCTTCGTAAATATTATAAAATAACGTATTCCTAAATGTCTTCCTAAATTCCCTTCTTCTCTTTTTCCTGCACAGGGCCTTTGCTGCACTGGCTGCTGACTGAAAGCCCAGCAGGGGCTCCTGCAGCCTGCCAGGGCTGCTCCATGCCCCCGGCACTGCACCTGGCCTGGCCTGCCCGGGACACAGAGTGACTTTCCTGAGGAGCACCCAGACACTCCCGGTGAAATCAGCAGCACACATCATCACTCGTGCCTTCATTTCATGCCCTTTCAGCCACTTGGAACTGCCATGAGGTTCAGGAATAGGCAGGATGATGGCAAAGGCATTGCTCCTTACAGCCAAAAGGTTCCAGGCTGCCTGGTGGCCGTGCTGGGATCCCAACCCTCCATGGCCTTGGCAGGGCTGGAATGCCCTGTCCCCCTGGGGTGCCCTTCAGCACTCACCCAGCTCCTGCTCTGGTTGTCCCAGTGCCTCTGCCCCCCGGGCTCCACCATGGACAAATAACCTGGAAAATTACAATTTAAGGGGAAAAAATGATACGTTTTGAAGCTGATAGGTTTTCGGGGCGGGGGCGGGGGGGGTGGCAGTATGAGGAAAAACTTCACTACCCTGCAAAGGGAGCCAGGCACCCCTGGAACTTGGGAGAGGAAAATGCCAGGGTTGAGAAAGACTTTGGAGGGTGCAGAGAGCACTGTGGGGCTCGTTGTTCCTCTCTGCTGGGCCATTTCCCCTTAGGGATGATGTGAATGGTCAATTCTGTATTCAGGACTGGGAAGGCAGCTGCACTTTTGCTGAATCTGCTACAGGAAGGAAAAAAAATCTGTATATTTCCATTTTCCTTAGAGAATGAAGCCTCTCCCCCAGAAAGCCAGCTCTCCATTTGCAAAAGCACCAGGGCAAAGGGATGGGAAAATCCCCATGGTCGCTGCTCCCACACCGTGCTCACCCCTCAGGCCAGGCTTTAACACAGGCGCAGGGACTGCAGAGGTGTTTCACAGAACCAACCGAGCATTCCTGCCTCTGATCACCTCACTCCCACGGGGCAGCCCTGGCCAGGCATCCCAAAACAGCAAAACCCACGGATTCGCAATCACCTCTGAAACCAACACCCGGATCAATACCTGGATCGCCCGAGGTCAGGCTGGGAATCCCTGGCAGAGGGAAGGAAATCCCAGAGCTCCTGCTCTCTGTCCTGCCTGGACCCACGAAAGCTCCTCACCTGCCCTGCAGAAATCTCTAAGGGCAGCCAGAGAGAGAAGCTGTTCCCCAAACAGGCTCCTCAGCCCTCCCAAGGACAGGACTCTGGGCTCTGGGCATGGGAATGCCATCCCAGCCTGGCAATGCCATCCTGGCATGAGAATGCCATCCCAGCAGGAGCAAAGCACCCCAAGATCCCAGAGCGTGTCAGGAGCAGGCACTGCCCTGCAGCCCAGTGCTGGCAAGGTCACCCCTAATCCATGACAAGGTCACCCCCAGCCCATGGCAAGGTCACCCCTAATCCATGACAAGGTCACCCCCAGTCCATGGCAAGGTCACCCCCAGCCCATGGCAAGGTCTCCCCCAGTCCATTGGAAGGAAGACACACGTGCACCAGAGTGACCAAAAGCCCTGAGCAGAAAGGAGCAGGAAGTGAACAGTTGAGCCTAATTTGTGCGAGGTTGTAAATGAATTTCACTGTGGCAGATGGTCAGTGGATTATTTTCCAGAGGGTTAGGCAAGACCCAGATTAGGAAAAGCTGAGAAATTTTGATGTGGCGTGCAGGACCTTATCCTTGGGCTCAGGACCCTGGTGCATTTGAGGGGGTCCTGACTGTGTGTGAGGGTCAAGGGGCCCCATCTGAGCAAAGCTGGGCTCTGCAAAAAGGGCAGGTATGGGGCCAAGCGTGCAGCCCCCAAACACCAGGTTGGCAACACCGCCCAAAAGTGCTCCCCGAGCTTTCCATGTCCTTAAAGCAAAGCTCCTGGCTGGGAAGTTGGGGTCCCCCGTCTGGGTCAGCCCCGTCTCGGTGGGGACATCTGGGTTGTGCAGGGGGGCCGTGCCCTGCCCTGGCCCCGGGCGGGCCGTGCCCACCCCCGCAGCCCCCGGCCCCGGCTGGGCATCCCGGGAGCCGGGCTGGGGCTGCCGTGCCGGGCTGGGCGGGGGGTGCTGCGCCGGCCCCGCTCCGCTCCCTGCCCTGATTTCCTGCTGGAAATCCCAGAGTCTTCTCCAGATCCAGCTCTGGTTTTGGGGGCAGCCATCTCCCTCTCCCTCTTTCCTCTTCCCTCCTTCTGCTTTCCTTCCTCCTCCTCTCCCTCCCTCCTCTCCGCACTGTGCTCTCCGGGGGCTCTGGGTACCGCTGCAGCATCGCCAGCCCCCTCCATGCGGGCGGCTGGGGCGCGGGGCGGAAGGGGAGGGCTGCGGGGGCCAAGCTGAATGAATGGGCATCGCCTCGGTGCCGCTCGAGCCTCCGCATAGGGGCGAGGCGGCCGCACCGCGCCGCGGGCAGGGGGGCAGCGGGGCCGGCCAGCGGCCGGGGCCGGGGCCGGGGCCGGGCCGGGCCGGGCCGAGCCGAGCCGGGCCCCCCGCCCAGCCCGCCGGGGCGCTGCGAGCAGCGGGCGCTGCCCCGCCGCGGGACCCGCACGGCCGGGCCAGGTGAGCAGGGGCTGCGGGGGCCGGCAGCGGAGCGGGAGGGCGGTGCGGGGCCGGGGGACGGACGGTGCGGGGCCGGGGGACGGACGGTGCGGGGGACGGCTCGGACGGTGCGGGATGGAGGGATGGACGGTGCGGGGTGAAGGGCTGAGGGGTGCGGGAAGGGGCCGGCTGGTGCGGCAGGGATGGCCGGACGGAGCGGGAGGGACAGCCGGACGGTGCGGGAGGGATAGCCGGACGGAGCGGGCTGTGCGGCCGGACGGTGCGGGAAGGAGCTGGCTGGTGCAGGGCTGGGCTGGCTGGTGCGGGAACGGGCAACAAGGAGTTAAGTGGCTGCGGAGCAACCGGGCTCGGAGCGTGTGAGTGTGTGTGTGTGTGTGTGTGTGTGTGTGAGAGCGATCCCGCACCCCGGGGGCGTGGCTCAGCCCACCCCACGCGTGTCCGTGCGGGGCAGCGGGCGGCCGGCTGCCGCTGCGGGCTGCGGCGTGGCGGGGCCGCGGCTGCGCGGGGGTGCGGGAGCCACGGCAGGGCCCGGCCCCGCCGCTGCCTCGCTGCTCCCGCATCGCAAATATCACCAATGTGTGCGTGTGCGGGAGCCCCCGGCCCGGCGCCTGTGCGGGGACCCGCTGCGGAGCCGCGCCGGCTGCGGGAGCCCAGAGCCGGGGTCGAGCTGCGGGGCTGCGGGTGGCCCCGATTGCCGGTGCGTGCCCTCCGCAGCGAACCGGGGCGGGGGAGCGGCCCCAGCCCGGGCGGGCGGGTGTGCACGGCCTGCGGCTGCGTGTGTTCCCCTTGGATGTGCGTGTGTTCCCCTTGGATGTACATGTGTTCCCCTTGGATGTGCGTGTGCTCCACTCTGGGTGTCTGTACACCTCTTGGATGTGCGTGTGTTCCCCTTGGATGTGCGTGTGTTCCCCTTGGATATGTGTGTGTTCCCGTTGGATGTGCGTGTGTTCCCCTTGGATGTGTGTGTGCTCCACTCTGGGTGTCTGTGCACCTCTTGGATGTGCGTGTGTTCCCCGTGGATGTGCGTGTGTTCCCCCTGGATGTGCGTGTGTTCCCCGTGGATGTGCGTGTGTTCCCCTTGGATGTGCGTGTGTTCCCCGTGGATGTGCGTGTGTTCCCCTTGGATATGTGTGTGCTCTCCTTGGATGTGCGTTGTTTGCCCCTCTGGGGTTTGTGTGCCCCTCTGGGGGTGTGTGTCACACACACGCGTGTGCAGAGGTCGCTGGGTGATGTCCCTGCGGTGTGTAGGGCATGGGGCTGGAGGTGTGTGCCAGGGAGGGCACGGTGCTGATGGAGGGAGCGGGCACACGTGGGGAGCTGTGTGAGCACCGGCTGCCTGCTCCCACCGGGCCCAGCCTGACTGCAGCCATGGTGGTCTCTGGGCACCTGTCCCCATGTCACGAGTGGGCACTGGCACTGAGCATGGCCCTGGCCTGTGTTAGCTGTGCCTGGGATGTGCCCTGTCCTTCCCCTGGGCCGGGGGGGTTTGCAGTGCGCAGGCAGTGCAGTGTGCGGGCAGAGCTGCCCGACCTTCACCCCTCTGCCCGACCCTCACCCGTCTCCCAGCGGGTTTTCCCATGTAAAAGTGCTCCAGAGCCAGTGGGGCTGTGGGCAGTGGAGCTGGCAGGGAATGGAGCTGGCTGGCAGCGAGTGGCAGCACCTGGCAGGTCAGTGCCTGCTGTCCCTGTCCCCGTGTGCCACCCCGGTGCCTCTCCAGCTGCACCAGGGGCCGGGATCAGTCCCAGGGTTGTGGTTGGGTCATTGTGCTACCACCAGACTTTTGCAGGGGCAGACAAATGTCCCCTCCCCATGCCAGTCTCCGCCACGTGCCAGTCCCCTCCAGGAGAGAGGACATAACAAACTCTGCTCTGGGCCTTTGCCGTCACGCGCTCGGAAGCTCCGCTCCAGGATGAGGCCCGGGCAGAGCCTTGTTGCCATCATTTCCATTGGAGCTTGGCACCAACACGCCTTTCAGGAGCAGAGCCTTGCTGACCCTCCTGGCCCTGTGGCTGGTGTGGGGCCAGCACCCGCGGTGCCAGGAGCAGCCGTGTCCGTGCAGAGGCGTGGGGCTGGCATTCCACAGGACCTGGGCAGCTTGGAGCATTTCCTGCAAAATGGACTCTCAGAGCCTCGTGAATCCACCTCCACTGTTTCTCTGAGGAAGCAGAGCACAGAGCCAGCCCAGGGGCTTCTTGCAGGAGGCTGTCACCTGGTAGGAGCTGCCACTCCTGCTCTGGGACACGGGGCTGCCGTTTGTGCTGGCAGGAAAATGGGGTTTTTCCAGCTGTAGGCTTGGCAGATGTGGCTCCGGTGTCTGCAGCAGCCCGGCTCCCTCGCTCCTCTCCGTGTCCATGACGCACGGTACGGTCGGAAGCGTGGCTGTGAGTGGTGAGGAACAGAGCAGCTCCAGGGAAACGTGCCACTCTGCAGCAGGAGACTCCTGCACCTTCCCACACCCTCATGCTGGGCCCAATATCACCCTCGGAGCATCAACATCTGGCGAGCCAGAAAAAAAATGTAAATCGAATAACCATCAGGAGTAATTGGAGACCCGTTTGGAAATTGGTTTGCTACCTGCATGCCTCCCAGGCAAGCTTTTCCCTGTTAACCATTGTGCATCTTTGCATGAAAAACGAGGCTTTATTTCCAGCCTGGGTAGCGGCAGCGCAGCAGGATGGGGATGAGCACGCTGTGTCCCCTCTAATCTGCCCACAATCAGCACCGAGCGCTGCTGCCACGCCGCAGAGATGGAGAGCCCTGGATCCAGATGGCAGCTGCCTTCCCGCATCCTCCCGTGCCATCCGCAGCGCAGGGCAGCGGAGCAGGGCAGCGGAGCAGGGGCAGCCCGCCAGGACCGGCCCTGGCAGGGCTCTGTCCCCGACAGCCACCTGCGTCCCCTGCGTCCCCCGCTCGCTGCCCGGCTCAGGGGCCGCAGCCCCGGGCAAGGCTGCCAGGAGCTGGGATGGCTCCGTTTGCTCCTGGATGGGCTTCAAGGAGCTGATTCGGAGCTCGGCGGGGATTTTCTTGCCGTTTCCAGAGGAATCCTGCCCAGGATCCACAGCTGGCTGTGCTTGGTCCAGCCACGCTGGGCTGGGCAGCCCCCAGCTGCAGCCCCACAGCCCCTCTGGGAGGGAGGGGGTGTGCTGGGCACCCAGGGCAGGCTGAGCACTGAGAGGGCCTCTGGTCACACTCACTGAGGCAAAGGGGCTGCAGGAGATCTCAGGCTGTCACCGGGGTGGTCAGGGGCAGTCATTTTGGGCACTGAGGCTGCTTTGTTATTCTCTTTTTGGGGGTGTGTTAGCTCTGTGCAGAATAAACAGAGGTGAAGGCTCTGCTCAGTCTGTGAGGGAAGCCCTTGGCTCAAGGTTTGAGGTGCTGAAAGCTGTGTCCTTACAGCAGAGTTTTGCTGAAGCCACACTCAGGGGCTGGCACCAAGCTCCTGCAGCTCAGGCTTGGCCTGTGCTGCTCTCCATGGCAGGGTGTGCAGATGTCTGTGTTCCTCACCTCGTACCTGCCCACAGCTCTGCTCTGGGAGGCCCCTTGGGTCCCTCTGTGGGCACAGACTGTGGCTACACCAACCATGCAGCTCCCAGTGGACACTGCTGTGGGCTCTGTGTGGGACTCCCTGGTTTGGGTGTGCAGGAGGAGGTCCTGAGCCTCTTCTTGCTGCAGAGATGTTGTAGAGGGAAGGTTCCCACCATGCTGAGCCCTCCTGTGCTAGCGCTGGCTCTGCTCAGGAAGGCTCCCATGAATGTCAGGCTTTCCTGTGCCTGTCTGGTGGCTCTGGACCATGGGCTGTCAGGAAAATTGTCTTTCCTGAGAGCTTTGCCCAGATGAGGCCTGGCTGCAGTTCTTGGCCAGGAAAGCAAAGCTGCTGCAAGGAGGCACAGCACAGCTGCCAGAGCTGTGTGGAGATCTCGTGGCCGAGGGTTGGAACTAGATGATATTTAAGATGCCTTCCTACACAAACCAATCTGTGATCCCATGATTCTGTGGTCTTGGTGGGTTTATGCCCTCTGGGGGAGAATGGGATGGGGGCCAAAGGGACAGACAGCCCCAAACCCACACTGTGCTGGCTGTGGGATGGTTTAGATGTTCCTGGGCCTGGCTTCTGTAGTTCCTGGGATATGTGGACCCTTTGCACATCTCTTGATCAACTCTCAAAGGGAAGGACCCCATTTCCTCAGGCCTCCAACAACTGCCTTCGGGTTTGGTGTTCCCTGTGTCTCCCATGCTGTCCATAGGGCTGCTGCTCTCCGAGAGCCGAGCTCCCTGCAGGAGCTCTGAGGTGGCACTTGTGCTCAGGAGGAGTGGTGAGCCCTGTGATGAGCATCATGAGAGTCCCCTTACGTCACGTATTTAATATCCCAATCCCTGAGCTGTTTGTCTCCATGTGTCTCCACAGGACAGGGACCACCCACACCATTTTCGCTGGCAGGTGACAGACAGGTGACAACACTGGGCTCCAGTCATTCCGGGGGGGGGGGGCTGAACAGCCTGCCTGGGGGCAGGGAGGCTTGGGTTACCTCCCCACTGCTTCCCTCTCAGCTAGGCTGAAGGATTTTCTTCACCCAGTGTCAGGGCCTTGGTAGAGAGAGGAGCGGGTGCTGGAGGTGTCACTGATTCCTCACGTTGGTCCTGGGCTGGCCCAGCTGATGGCCAAGGAGTCCACAGGGAGCAGCTTCCCTCTGCTGAGAGAGCTGGGAGGTGCCTGCAGCGAGTGTCCCTGGGGTGTTCAGGGCATCCCCTCGTGCCCTGAGGAGCCTCTGGTGGTACCTGCTGTGGTGTGAGAGCCCCCTCTGTGCCTGGGCTCCCTATGGGGAGGCAGAGATGAGCTGGTTGTGTGTCAGAGCAGAGTCCTTGCCTGCAGCCACAGGGACCCTCACCCTCGGAGTGCCAGTGCTTCCCCCATTCCCTCACCCCCGTGCTCCTGGGCTCAGCTCCGTGCCCCTGTGTGCTGCCCAGATCTTGCCCTGTGCCCACTGACCACAGGCCGGGGT